CTGCTACTGCTACTACTACTACTGCTACTACTACTACTACTACTGCTGCTACTACTACTACTACTGCTGCTGCTACTACTACTACTACTGTTGCTACTACTACTACTGCTGCTACTACTACTACTGCTACTGCTACAACTACAACTGCTACTACAACTACTACTACTACAACTACTACTACTATACTACTACTACTGCTACTACAACTATACTACTACTACTGATGATGCTGCCGCTGCTATACTACTACTACTATACTACTACCCAAATGACTAAGGTAGTGGTTGTTACACACAGGGATTTTGGCTTAGTAAACACGGCCAGTCTTGGCCGGTAGGAGAACCGGCCCATGTCGTCAGCGTGTGTCTGTGAACTAAAAAACAGATTGTTGGAGAGTCAAATAGTCTGCTGCCAGTTGTTGGGACTTTTGTGTCTCTTGTCCTATTATTCAATCGTTGTGTCTCTTGTCCAATCGTTGTGTCTCTTGTCCAATCGTTGTGTCTCTTGTCCAATCGTTGTGTCTCTTGTCCAATCGTTGTGTCTCTTGTCCAATCGTTGTGTCTCTTGTCCAGTTGTTGTGTCTTGTCCAGTCGTTGTGTCTCTTGTCCAGTCGTTGTGTCTCTTGTCCAATTATTCAATGTTGTGTCTCTTGTCCAATCGTTGTGTCTCTTGTCCAACTATTCAATGTTGTGTCTCTTGTCCAATCGTTGTGTCTCTTGTCCAGTTGTTGTGTCTCTTGTCCAATTATTCAATGTTGTGTCTCTTGTCCAATCGTTGTGTCTCTTGTCCAACTATTCAATGTTGTGTCTCTTGTCCAATCGTTGTGTCTCTTGTCCAGTTGTTGTGTCTCTTGTCCAATTATTCAATGTTGTGTCTCTTGTCCAATCGTTGTGTCTCTTGTCCAATTGCTGTGTCTCTTGTCCAGTTGCTGTGTCTCTTGTCCAGTCGTTGTGTCTCTTGTCCAGTCGTTGTGTCTCTTGTCCAATCGTTGTGTCTCTTGTCCAATCGTTGTGTCTCTTGTCCAATCGTTGTGTCTCTTGTTCAATGTTGTGTCTCTTGTCCAATCGTTGTCTCTTGTTCAATCGTTGTCTCTTGTCCAATCGTTGTGTCTCTTGTCCAATCGTTGTCTCTTGTCCAATTGTGTCTCTTGTCCAATCGTTGT